CGACTGCTTTTTTTTGATATACATAGACACTCTATATTTTCTGCAGTCCTTATAAACTTTGATACTCCTTCTACTACATATACTCCCAATATTCCTTATGCGGCCCATATCCCTTATATTTCTATACTTCCTACATCCCTTCTATATTCCCTATACCTCCTATACCATCTGTATTCTCTACACTTCCTATATCCTTTATATTTTCGATACCCCGTATATCTCTATACCCCGATATTTCCTATACCCTCTGTATTCTCTATAGCTTCTATACTCCATACATTCCCTATATTCCCCATCCGCCCTATACTCCTTATACTACCTACGTTTTAGTAGAGTCTACATAATCCTGGAACACTCTAAAACTAACAATAAACCATACAACCTTTGAACCGGCGGAGATTAAGGTTTGACCCTTGACCAGAGAACATTCCATAAAATTGTGGAAAGCTCCAGAAGTCTCTAGATTCGTGGTTACGTCCACATCGTTCGAGAAAGGTGTAGAAAATTCCAGAAGTGTTTGACCTTTAACCTTGAACCTTTGATCTTTGATCTTTGATCCGGTAACAGACGGACAGACAACCGTGCTTTATTATGTAGATTCTATATCCTTATTCTATACCTTTATTTTATATCCTTACACTATATCCCTATTATATGCCCTTAGAACTAAAGAAAAACCCAATATATTTATATTTCGTTTCTTGACCGACACTCGAGACGTGACATATACTTTTGTAGTTGTTTACTATATTTATTTTAAATAAACTAGGTATTCTTAGTACGTTGGTGATTTATTTCAATCTTATCATGAAATAAATAGCAGCTAAATGACATAAATAAAGTGAAAATGCTGAAAAAGAAAAGAAAGCTCATTTCATCTTGATATTATAAGTAGATAAACACATTTTCGATGGTTGACAAAAATCGTTCACTTTGTGCAGTAACATATCACGAAGTAAAGGAAATGAAAACTACGTGATGAAATAGTCCTGTCGAATGTACTCTAAACTATATTTAAAAAACATGTTTTATATCGAGCTTTTGAAAAGAAGTTTTCACAATAATTATATGGTGAACCATATTTTCTTTGTCAAATCCTTCTACGATTCCCTATTTTGACTGAGAAACCCCGAGGAGTTCTGCAGAATTAACAGAACCTTTTCTGTTTCAATATCTTTGGGTAAAACACTTTTGATAGCTCAGCATTTTTTGACAGAATCTTACGAGGTTCAGTATTATTGGGCGGAACCTGTTCAGTGCAGCGTTCTTGGACGGAGAGGTTTTTATGGTTCAGCATTTTTCTGACGGAACCTTACAAGGTTCAGGAATATTGCGCAGAACCTTTTCGGTTCTGCACTTTTGGACAGAGAACATTGTATGGTTCAGCATTTTTTTGGCAGAACCTTACAAGGTTCAGCATTATTGGGCAAAACCTTTCGGGTTCCGGAATTTTAGAGAAAGAACTTCTTTCGTTCAGCATTTTTTTGGCAGAACCTTTCAAGGGTTCAGTAGTATTGGGCAGAACCTCATCGGTTCAGCATTTCTAGAAAGGGAACATTTGATAGTTCAGCATCATTGGACGGAACCATTTTGGTTCAGCATTTCTGGGCAAAGAACTTTTTATGGTTCAGCATTTTTTGACAGAAGCTTACAAGGTTCAACATTATTGGGCGGAACCTTTCAGGGTTTTGTACTATCATACAGAACTGTAAATTGGTTCTGCAGCATGTGCAGAACCAAAAATAGTTCTGGAAACCTCCTTTTTTTTTAGAGAGCAGGATACTGCGGGATCAGGTGACCGGAATCTTCGACCTGGGTGGACGTTACGCCGTAATAGCGGTCGTGTACGGCGGCCGTGTGATGCCGTAAACGTCACGGTGAAATACGATCGTAATACGGTCCCACGAAATCCTGCGAATATACGACCGTATACTGTCGTTTCTGGTCACCGTAATCCTCGTTTTGGGTGTGGTAATTGCTACAACTAAGAAAACTATACCTATGAGTTCAGGAGCAATTATGATAACTATAAGTACAATTATCAGTTCTCCAAGGCATTCGTGAAACACAATATTTTTTAAGACGTTAACGAATTCCTATGAAAGCTTACGAAAGATGCTCATGATCAGAAAATCTTAATCTGAAGTCAAATTTTGAAAATGTTTAATTTAACCTTTTATGATAAAGGATGGTTTTCTAAGAAGATACTGATATTTAATAAAGAGTGACGAAAGTAAATAGGTTTCCACGGACTCGAATGTAGTATCAGTTTATCAAAGTTCTGCATTTCAATTTTCAATGAATTTTTTCCTTGATGAATACTATAGTGTTGCTAAGTATAATACTCGAATGAGTGAATTTGCACTTCCATTCGTCAAGCAATTAAGGAGATAGTTACTTTCATAGTTAACACTCCCTTCATCTAAAAACATCAGTTCAAAATTTTCAGAGACTGATTTCTAGTTCAGACTCGCAAGTCCCGGTTAACCCCGTCCACCTTTATAAAAAGCTTTGCTTTCTTAAAGATGCTGTTTTCCGCGACAACCGATTTGATCTGATAACTGTACCTAAGATGGTCATACTTGAACCGGTAACTGTAGGTGCAGTTATCACAGTCGGACCGTCATCTGTACCTACATTACTCGTACTTTGGCTACTAACAGTAATAACAGTTATCGTACTTATACTAGCATCTATAGGTATGCTTATCATAGTTGGACCGGTGACCGTAGGGATGATTATATAATCTTGCTGGTGATTATCGATACGATTGTCGTAGTTGAGCTGGTAATCGTAGGTACGGTTATCGTGTTGGACCGATAGCTGTACCTACAGTACTCGTGGCTAGATGGATAATCGTAATTTCGGTGATAGTACAGTCAGGGCAAAAATTTCTGGGATATTCAAGAGAATGACTCTCGAAAATGTTATATTCCATTCAAAATAAATTTTATATATATTTTAAGTATAGTTACTGATCAAGCTTTTGTACTTTACTAAATAGAAAAAACTTCTAGTTTTAATATTATATAAAAGTTTAAACAGTAATTATACTTAAAAAATATGCTTAAAGTTTATTTTGAATGGGATATAAAATTTTCGAGAGCCATTTTTGAGTGTCCCAAAGCTTTTGCCTCGACTGTAGTTAGACTGGCAAGCGTAGCTATAGCTACCGTAGTTGAATTAATAACCGTACTCATGGTGATGGTAGTTAAATCGGTAACCGTAGGTACAATGATTTTAGCTAGATAATGACCATTCGCACAATTATCGAGATTTGATGGGAAAATGTAGATACAATGACTGTAGCTGTGCCAATAACCGCAGGTATGGTTATCTGTGTGGGCCGGTGAAACCATCTTCACCGTTGCATTTGTAGTTAATATCAAAACTATCGATTTCGAACTACGACAATCTGCGGTGATGACCGGTTTCCACTACTACTCAAACAGTACAATACGCAATGCATCAAGCGGTACTAATACACCGGCCTTTATTAGGACTTTTTTTAACCTTATTGACTTGACTCTCTGCTTTACTCCGAAGTTCCGATGAGTATTTCCCAAAACTAATTAGGACGAGGGAGCACTTCTTATCACAAAATTAAGTGCTCGAGCTTCTGAGATGTATAGCGTGGGACAGATATTGAAAAAGAAAAAAAGTGACTGGTGCAGCGGTCCCATCGTACCAACAGTGCACCCCTACCCAAAATCCACGTCCACACTCTCAACTCTTCAAGCGTTTCGTAGATCAATTTAGAGGGAATCTGAAATTCTGACATGTAGGCAGATTTGGGCGTGGTAATGGTAGGGATGCACCAATTCCAATCAATTCCAACTCTTAGAATTGGCTGGGATTGGAAATGGAATTGTAGGAATTGGGATTGGTTACTATTGGCTTGAATCACTTAAAAATCATATGGAATCCCAAGAATCGGCATGGAGTTGGCCTGAATCTGGCTAGACTTGGTTTGAGCTGGCTATAGTTCGTATGGAGTCTCAAGAATTGTTATGGAATTGGCTTGAAATTGGCTCGAATTGGACGGTATTGTCTACAATTCGTATGAAATTCTAGGATTTGGTCTGAAACTGACTCGAATAGGCTTGAGCTAGCTACAAGTCTTATAAAATTCTAGGAATTGTACACGATTGGGTACAACTTTAATCAGTTTAAGACCAATCCCTAGGATTCCATACGAATTGTAGACAATACGGTCCAATTCGAGCGAGTTTTAGGCCAATTCCGTACCAATTCCTGTGACTCCATACGATTTTTAGGTGACTCGAGCCAATACTAATCAATTCCAATTCCAGCCAATTCCGATCTCAATTTCGGTCAATTCCAATCCCAACCAATTTCTACCAATTCCGTCAATTCCAAGCCAAGAATTGGAATTGGAATTGGTTGAAATTGGGATTGGTTGGAATTGGGATTGGTTGGAATTGGGATCGGTTGGAATTGGGATTGGTGCATCCCTAGGTAGTGGTATGATTACGAGTGTGCTTATGGCAGTGCTGTGAGTGTGTGTTGGTGCGGGCGTGAGTATGACTGGGGGGAGGGGGTGTAGGTGTGTCGTGGGTGTTGATGTGAGTTTTTGAAACGTGTTGAAGGTGTAAGCACGGGATTGGTTACTGATATAGCTCTCTCATTCAAAAGCACCAAAACACACTAAATCTCCACATCTACACCCTTAGATAGTTGTATACGTGTATGGTTTAACTGATAGTTGTTTATTGAGTTTATCTTTGAATTTTGACACTAATAAGTTTCAGAGCTTCACATACTAATATAATTTCCAGGTCGTTCGACTCTCATGTAAGTTTGGCTGTATGTATGTGTTCTTTTTGCGATAGGTTACTTGTGTAGTTCACTTCTGTTAGTATTAAAGACAAAATAATATTTTTTTTCGTGTTGTGTTGTATTGTATACATTTGCACACACAGTTCAGAAAAAACACTTTAGGCACAATGCGAAGAAGTCTGGGCAAAAGTGAAAATCTATTATGTATTTGAGTCGATACTGAACTTTTGTACTCTATCGTTTCCTAAATCGACGACATACAGATTACCATCTCGATCGAATGACAAACCGATGGGCCCATTGAGTTGACTTGATCCTTTTCCTCGACCGTTTCCACCAACAACGACAGTTCCTTGTGTGGCCCCATTGGACCAACGCATGATTCGATCATTACCTCGATCAGCCACATAGACAGTGCCAATTTGATCGACAACGATTCCTGCAGGAGATGACAATTGTGTTAGATCATTCCCTTTTCCTTGAGCACCAGCTACGACAGTGCCTTGTTTTTCACCTTCCACCCATTTCATCACACGATGATTTTCCCAGTCAGATATGTATAGTGAGTGCTCACGATCGACGAATACATATTGTGGGCAGGAGAGTTGATCGAGGCGATTTCCACTCCCATTGCCACCTGCAACCAATGTTCCTTTCGATTCTCCTATTCGATATCGTCTCACTTCATCGTTTTCTATGTCAGTGACATATAGATATCCATTCTCGTCCATTGTGAGACCTACACAATCGATTTTGGAGATGATTGTTTCTCCATGTGCCCCATCTCGACGGGGCCATCGAACCACTCTTCTATTCGAAGAATCAGAAATGATTAGACTATCTGTCTCTTTGTCGACAATTACATCCAATGGATTTGATAACTGATGAGCTCCGCGTCCTTGTCCATTTTCACCGGCAACCACTTGAACACTGGTTGCATCCAATTTCCATTCCACAATACGGTGATTCAATCGATCCGCGACATAGACAGCTTGCTCATCAACATGCAGACCATATGGATTAGAGAGTTGGTGGGTTTGATTGTCTAATCCATTTCCTCCAGCTACAGTGAGGCCATTTTGTTGCCATTGAGCGTTCGGATGAATGTCAATTGAACTACCACGCAATGGAACGACTTCAAAAAAAACAAAAAAAACTTACTAGTGCAGACCATTTCGAGTGAAATGTGGAAGTTACGTGTTTTTTTTTCCAAAACAATCGATCACTGCAGTAAGGATCTCTCTTTCCTATATCAAAAGTTTCAAATTTTTTTCTTGGCCGGTAGTTATTAAGTGTGAATTGGCGGGTAGGTATGCTTCAGATCCAATTACTGGGTACGCAGTCCGACTGGAACCTTGTTCACTAGTCAGGACTCCCATTGGTACATACCTAACGGTTGGTATCTGTAATGAGCACAACTAGGGGTTGATAGTTATAAAACTTCAACTTAGAACTAACGGCTACTATTTGCTTGAAAAACAAGTGAGTTCTACAAAAGGGAAAATTTCATGAGTTTTCTTAAAATCGGCAGTTTCAAAGCCGTTGTCTCTTAAATAATACGAATATTTATGTCTTCTTATTGTTTACATCAAAACTTCGGAAAAATGAATAAAATTTGAATCTCACCCTCATTTTTTCAATTATCTATTACCATTTTCTTCTTTGTATCACTGTTTTTGAATGGTTAAGATGTTTCATACATATCCACAAGATACTGTGTTCAAACTAGGGGTGGGAAGTTACCGTTCCCAGACCGTTACCCGGGAACAGTAACGGTAACGGTTCCTATGGAAGGAGTTACCAGTTACTTTTTCCTGGTAACTTTTTGAAAAGACTAAATATCACTTCTATTGGACCGAACATTGACAATACACCAGTAAAAAAAATTTGGAGTTACCAGTTACCCTGGTAACTGTTACCCGTTACTAGTTACCTGAGAACGGGTCAATTTAAAAAATAACGTAATTGCAAAATTCTGTTGATGGGAAGTAATAATTCATCTTTTTAGAGAAGTTACCAGGAAAAAGTAACTGGTAACGGTCCCGTTACCGTTACCTGGGTAACTGGTAACGGGACCGTTACCGTTCCCCGGGAACGGTAACGGTAACTTCCCACCCCTAGTTCAAACATCAGATCTGTCAGTCATATAATGACCTGAGGCAAGTTAGTAACGACTGTTGTAGTCTCAGGCTATCTATCCAATAACGAGTGCTAGCAAAATACGCTCTAATTCACTCTACCTCAGTTTATTTCGAAGATATGTTCAATTGTTAGAGCTTATAGCTCTTCAAGCAGAAAAAAATATTCTAAGGCAGGTTCTTTAAAACATATTTGACAAAAGAATCAAATAGTACTTTTATGGGTTCATTCAAACTCACTCTAAACCACTCAAACAAATTCTTAACTCGTGCTAATCGACTGTGACCCATTGCAAGTCCATGTTTGGTGAGAAAATGAATGACTCATAACAATAAGCCACCCCTTGATTTTTTTAGATCTATTCACCTTGCCATCAGTTTCGCTATTGTTAGAGATCAAAGTTTGAGAATCAAGGGTCACACCTAAGAGTGGGTCTGGTGGCAGCTTCGAGTGTACTGTCCGTTTCAGACATAAATGGCGGTCGGTATTTTTCGAACAACTTTTGATAGGAACGCAACAGATATTTACGGTTTTCACCGTTGAAAAGACTAGATAAAAGTGCATCGAACCATATATAGAAAATCTTTTCTAATGACTTTTCTAAAGGTTTTATGTAAGACTTCAAATAAAAGAGGATGCCTCTGATGATTACGATATTAATTTATTGGTTTTCAGGAGTGTTATAGTACCCCAAGTGAAGAGCTACAAACACTATGGAAAGGCTCTATTTCGAACTGTTATCAATAGCATATTATAGTCATTGAAGTACAGTTTACCGCCCAGTTTTTCAACAAAATAGTCGAAAATTTGAGGTTTTTTTGTGGTATTTCGATAGAAAAATTACTTTTTCAACCTAGGAGAAAACAGCAATTCTTTGAAAACGTTTGACTGAAACCTTCAGCAGAGTCGTTAGAAAGATCTTTCTATATTTGGTTCGATGTATTTTCATTTGCTCTTTCCAATGGTGAAAACTGCAGATCTCTATCTCATTGCTGTCAAAAGTTATTCAAAAAATACCCCCAGCCATTTATGTCTGACATAGACAATAGATGTGGATGTAGATGTGAGTGGGTGTAGAAGTTGACGAAGAGCAACCGAGAGTCACACACCTACCTTCACATCCATACCCATATCTAACCCTATCCCCATACCCTCCTAAGACATTACCAATAGCATTCTTTGGTTTACTAATGCTTGAAGAACTAAATTGAACTTGTTTTCTCAATTCGATTGCTTTTTGGCGCCATTTCATGCTCTTGTCGAGTTGGCCAGCATTTGATGCAAGTGTACCGAGATTTTGATACAAATCAATACATGTCGAGTTATCGGGAGGAAGTTGTTCTAGCATGCGAATAAAGTATCGTTCAGCTAGATCAGGTCTTCCCATCTCCCATAAAAGTTTTCCTAATGTTTGAAGGTTTGTTTCTTTATGCACAAACTGTTCTCTTATATCCATGAGAACTTGTTTTAAATGATGTTCATCATTATCGCACAATGCCATTTGGACAATCCATACTTGACTATGACTGTTTCGCTCGATACTGTCCAATCGAAAAATAGAACCAAGCATAAAGAGCACTTCAGATTCATCTCTATATTCACAATATTCACTGATAGCCGCGAATGGTTTTGCAACAGCTAGCTTGGGATCGGCATCGATTACAAATAATACTCTTTCTAAATTTGATGTAGCATCTGGCGCCCTGAGAAATGAAAGGGCTTGTTGTTTATCCATACTAGTAGAAAAAAATGAATTCACCGAAATGAATTGACCCCGGCATTGTTTCAAAATGTCTAGTTCGTTACTTGATATCATTTGACTACGATAAACCCGAATAAAATTCTTGGCTTGATAATTTCTTAATTGGTTCTGAATGTCAGTGATATATTTACGAAATAAAAAAATCGTGTGAATATCTCGCTTACGAAGAGCGGCATTAAGAGTTTTGTAAAAGAACATTTCTTTTGAGTACCACCATAAAGCTTTCTCAGATGAATAGTTTTCTCGAAATGCACGAATATTACTCAATTCAACACTATTGCCTTTATATTGCTCTTTGCAAAGGCTAATAAGTTCTCTTCTATCATCTTCAGTATATGGCAATCGGATAAGACAATCAATTAGAACTTGTGAAAAAGCAAATTCACCATTTAAACTTATTGTTGACTTCCCTGGATCACCACCTGTAGTAAAAATATTAATCGATAATGGCTCTTCGATTGTTTTTTGAATTTTATGATCAACTTTTATTAGAGAAATGAGCTCATGAAGCTCAGTTACAACAGCCTTTACCTACCAATAATGAAAAACCTGAAGCTAAATTGGTATTATCAAGTTCTATTTTACCTTTGCGTATTTGCAAGCCCATTCTTCATTACGTTTCTTGTCGAAACAATAAACATATATTGATATAACTTGTCGAAGACTGTGAATAGTAGGAACGATTTTCCGTCCCAATTGACCACTAACAACCATGACAACTCGTTCTTTCGATGATCTTTCATTAACATAGTTTCTGCACTGCTCTACATCTTGAAATTTCTTGAGGTGATTAATAATCGAGCGTAATTTTTGTTCAGTCTCCCGACCATCTTTACCACTTAGACCTGAATCGAGCCATACAAGACAGAAAATTTCGAGATGCATCTCGTCTGGTTTTATGTGAGAGTCATCCGTACGTGAAATTGCGGCGGCCATTTCAATCAACAAGATAAAGTCAGATTGGTTTTCTTCGAAATATTTTCTATTTAATCGTACAAATTATCTTAGAAATCTAAAATGAACCTTTTATTTTCACTTGTGTTATTCGATTTATCCATTGTTATGGTACCATATAGGTATTCAAGTCCTTTAATGGTTATCGCTTTCCTTAATTTCGTAATCTTTATAGATAAGACTATCGGACAGAAGTGTAAACTTTCATCATTGACTGATATCAGTTAATCATTTTTATTTCTTTTCACTTCAGTCATCAAGAGTTTGAGTGTGGGTGGATATTGACCTGGATAATGATTTAGATGTGGGTGGTTGGGTAGGTGTAGGTGTGGGTTTGGGCGTATGCGTGTTGTTGTCGATGAAGCGAAGAACCATACTCACACCTACACACATACCTGAAAGACAGCACTCACACCGACTCTGTTCCACACCCTTCAAGAAGTACTCCAAGTTTCACCAAGAGAGTTCTCAATTAAATTTCCCCTGTTCTATCGAATGTTGCAAACCAATTGCTGATATCATAAACCATTTACGTAAAAAGTTGAAAATATAGCTTTTCTCTATGGAACTCAAGTATTTCTTCAATTAATCCCAGCCGCAATTCGTTTAGAGAGTATTTTAGCTTCTTCCAGGATAGGTTCAAGTATACTTGGTAGTGCTCTCTACATTGGTGAAAGCATGTTTATGATCTCTGGAAGCATTGGAACTAAATTGCAATGGACAAATGTTTCCTCACTGTTCGTAGGATACTTCTCAAAGCGATTATCCTGGAAAGCCTTTCGCGCGATTCTATTTTTGTACAAGTACACATCGGTCGGCTCTAGCGAATTGGGTAAATAGGTTCATGACCTCATAAAACATACAAGAAATGGTTGAAAAACATTATTCTTTTGAGATTGCGTTTGAAGGCCTAATGGAGGAGTTTCGGGATACTTTGCCCAGCAAACGTTTATGGTCGTTTCATTCATGCTTTAACCAACGTTCAATAGGCGATATCGGTACAGGAAATATGACTGTAATGAACTAGTTCCATTTTTGCAAAGAGTGGAAATTTGCATTTCTCACGTACAATCTGTTTGTGAAGGGATTAAGTTGAATAAGGTTTCGTGCGGCACCTGTTTTAGCTATCGCTGTTTTCGTTTTAGAAATGTTCCTAGATGTTCCAATTTATGGTTTATTTTAAGTTTCTTGATGATTGATTGCTTCTGGATGATCTGGCGGACTATGTTTCCATCGATACGGCGCATTGATATGAGTATGAGCTGTAGATGTGCGTTTCTGTGAGTATGGAGATGCTAGCAAGTGTTGGTGTAGCAAAAGTGTAAATTGAAAGGATACATACTGGCACAGATACACCCACGCTCGCACCAGGAATACCCCAGCTTCAGGCAGGAAAATTCTATTTTTGGATATTTACACGAGAACTTCATGGTATCAGAAATCATATTTGATCATTCGACAGAACAAACATAATTGTACTGGTAACTCTCTTAGAACAACCTGAAAGACTTCCTGAACAAATCAGTACTGAAGTTTACCGAAGCATATTAAGCTCTATAGGCAAAATTTGTATATTTGAGATTGTGCACCAATGCTTTATGACATCAGAAATAGATTTGCGTCATTTCATAAAGTGATTGATATTGTGCTCAAAACTCTTCTGGAACAGACTGAAGCACGTCCTAGATGAATCGGCGCTAGAATTACTTTGAAAACTCCACAGCTCCATGGAGAAAAAAGTTATTATTAAAAATTTGCATCAATGCTTCAAAATATCAGAAGTCGCTTTTCGCCATTTGATAGAGGAAGTGGAGGGACGTGGGTGTGGTTATGAGTGTAGGTGGGTTATGAAAAGGTATGGTTCCGAGTGTAGGTGGATTGTGAGTGGGCGCGGCTGTTCGTTTCATTCTACTCATACACTCACACCCACCCTCCAGCGAATTGGCTAAAACTTTTAAAAGATCATCCTATTCTCTCTAATATTTCATGCATGAAATTTGTTTTACGTTAGTTTTTCTGGCTTCCCTTAAGTTTATATGCAAAATAAGATCAAATCAGACTCTCTCTCACCATGCAAAAATATCTAGAGTACGATTTGTTGCTTAAGATATTACAAACATACTTTGTTTTTTGTGAAATATGCAATCAAAAATTTGTCCTCAAGAAAATGACCGTAAAATAACAATATATTTTTGTATTTTGAACCAGTTTTTCTTCAGATGGTACTTGTAATCTTCCTCTATAAAATGACATAATTTGATCAAAAACTTATTATAAAATTGTAATAGATACTATCTATTTACTGAGAGACTCAAAACTTTTGGACCATTCATCAGTTGTAAGCCACCTGTCTACATCAGTCTGTTCTTTTACTTTGCGAATTTTCCGAACCACTTCCCTACCACGTCTCAAGATGATTTCAACAATGCTTTAGCGTTGCTCAAGATCTTTTGTAAGCTGCAATGCATCGCTAGTATGCTTCCAACTATGCATATTTACTTTAGTAGAAAGACACACTGTAAACTAGAAAATGAGTTATAGAGTTTAATCGAGGATATTCTAGGAATGCCTATATGAATTCGCCGATGAATTTCTAAATTCTTGAAAATAAGATATTCGAAACATTAAAAATATGAACTTTGATTTTCTAATTAGAAAATCGAGAGTGAATTCATATAGGCATTCCTAGAATTTCGGATTCGATATAGCAATTCGAGCATATTCTAAAAACTAATGTCGGTGCCAGAATGAAAGAGGGGTGGATATAAATTTAATAACTCAACAATGGCAAGAGCTACCGAACTGCGGTTTTCACCAATCGAAAGAAGAGGAGTGGGCACGTTTTTTCTTCTGATAATGTATAAGACGAAATCCTTTTAAAACTTAACATATTCGAAAAATCTGAAAAAAGAACCCATGAAATGACCTGGCAGCTAGATGAAATTTTAATTTTGACCTTTG